CCCTTTTTTTTTTTTTTTTTTAGCCTCCTCCCCTTTCTCCCTCCCCTATCGGTCCCAACATTCTCCTTTCTTCTTTTAACAACAATTCAAAGGTATCAAATTGGCATTCTAAGATTCTGAAAACGGCAGCAAAAATGCCCTCATCAACACAGACGTCTCAAACAACAACTGTCCCCACCATTTCGCCTCACCTCCCTCAGTGCTGCAGTTGCAAACAAAAAAAAAAAAAAGAAGACTTATGTAAACCCGTAAAAAAAATATATTAAAGTAAGAAAAAAAGTGACAGCAATTTTATTTCCAATCATTTGTTGCCCTTATATTTTTTGTTCCATTCAACTTATAACTGCTTCAATGAATGATGAGGAAGAAAAAGGAAAACCAAACTTTCCTCCTTTTTTTCGTCTTGCTTACAATATTTTTCTTTCCTGTCATCCTATTCTGCTTACCCTTCTCTCAATTCCACGTTTTTTTTTCCTCATGTTTTTTCTAAAATTTGAAAATAAAACTGCTGTCTTTTTTCTCCTGCAACAACTAAATCAATATAAGTGAGCAAAAAAAATATATATATATATATTCAGACGAAACTTAAACCAGGATAAATAAGTCACTAAAATTGCTTTCACTAAGCAACAACAGCAACGTCAACGATAATTGTAAGAAGAAACTCTTTTTTTTTTATGGTCGTCATCTATCCATCACGATCAAGTTGCACCAATTCAACAACAATATATCAATATTTTCGTCCTGTCTATACGTTATTGCTAGCTCAAAAATAAATGTAACTTTTATTCACCAATTACCATTATAGTTCTACTGATATCATTCAATTTTTTGTAGTGTACCAAAAAAATAAATGCTATGTACATTTATGTCCAAATATCCAACTTCCACCGGTACAGATAAGTGTTGGTAAATGCTGCTAAGCTTTCCATACTATACACTTAGTACCAGTTACGATGGCTGAAGAATAAAAAGAACAAAAAAATCCTTAAGCAGATAATTGTATGAACAGATCAGTTAGTACAAAAAGGCACAAATAGTTGCGGTGATTGAAAAATAAATTCAGAATACAGTGATCCAACAATAAAACTGTTGATCATCAGACAGTAAACCGCCAACAGAAAACCATTCAGATATCCAAACATTTTAAACTATCATCTTAATTGTCACCACCATAATCATCACCGTACGTCACCACGGCAACCATTAGCAGCAACAAGAATTCAGCAGATTCCATGTTTTCTTGCTATATGCATTCAGATTGCTTAATGGACAACAATACTGGTCAGTGTTGTTGAGCGGCTATCAGAAGAAAGAAACAAGTTGGGGTAAGTCTGTTCGAATAGACGACTGTCGTCTATCACTGAACACATATTACAGAATATTCGGGTTTGCCGTTTAATATCTGTATTTGTTATACACTTTTACGTAAGTCTTAAACAACTATTGTTGGAAACGATCGGTGAAAAAATGATAATGTCTCCAATTCTTATTGCTCTAAGAATTCTATCAGATTAGTTTCATTGTTAACAGTATAATGCAAAACTTCTTCTTCTTCTTTAAATACGATTTATATGCCGTATTAAAAATAAAAAAAAAAAGTGGAAAAAAGATAGAGCAGTCAAAATAACAGATTTTTTCACCCCTATTCATTTATCGTATTCATTAAAGACAATTAGAAATAATCGCCTAAAATTCTTATGTTTTTTTTTCTTTTTTTCAAATTCTTTTATATCCTGAAAAAAAACTTGAAAAAATGCAGATATTTACAAAAATTTAATTTGATATATTTCTTCTTTCTTATTCCTCTCCTTTCGTTTTCCATGAAAAGCGGCTCCGTCTTCTTTGGTTAAATATTCCAAATTATTAGTCAAGAAAAAAAAGACAGTTGCAAAAACCATCTTAAGTTTAATAATTTTTTTGTGCTATAACATTCTGAGTGGAATAGAACAAAAAAATCATATTTGTATCAAATACAGCATTATCAATGTTTTACGATTCAACAGTTCTACCGATAGTTGTCAACTAAAGTTGTATCAGTTAAGACGTCATTAAAGATAGCAGAAAATAAGTACAGCAGAGATTTAATGCTGTTTTATTGTCTTTAAAAACTCTTTAGTTTTATTTTTAAGCCTTAATGAACACTATGTTACCAGAAAAAAAAACAAGAAGCAAAAAGTATGTTGAAAAAGACAAGTAAAAGTTTGAAATTTGGTCCAAATTCAACAACAATTCTAACACCAGTTTATATACCCGTCATATAAATAAATATAAACACATTTAATACATGTGTATATTCAATACTTTCCACTCTTCTTCTTCTTTTTCTCATTCTTCTTCTCCTCCTCCTCCTCCTCATTCTCCTCCATCTAGCCTTTCATTTCTTTTCTTTCTTGTTGCTTGATTTTTCAAGTGTCTTGTAAAAAAAAGTCGACAACTGTATGTATATTTAAAAGCATTACCACTTTCAGTCAACAGAAACTGAACTAGTGAAAAAGCAAAAAAGAAAAGAGAAGAAAAAAGAAAAAGGAAACTTTCCCATCTGTTTACTTGGTTGTTTATACTAAAGTAAAATCAAGCTACAGGAGGTAAGAAAAAACTGTGAAAAAATAAAAACTGTCTACGAAATTAGATCAACTGGTAAACAAATTTTTTTTCCTTACTACATCAGCTAAATAATTAGAAAAATTTTCCACTTTTACGCCAATATTTCTCCTTCATTGATTCCAATGTTTTTGCCATCTATAAAAAAAAAAGATAATTGTTTTTCCT